TAAACAGTGATTTTTGTGAAGACCCGAAGGCCGAAAAATCTCCAGAATTTTGACGTGTACAGAAAGGATGTTTCGAAAACTTCGAGCCATCAACTATAGGAAGTTGGATGAGCTTAAGTATTAATTATAACATGCTATTTACAAACGATTAAATTCTTACCGTCTTAATGTCCATGGTATAATATCAACATCCAGTATCGATGAGACCAAGTGGAAGTCACTCATAACACTTATGACAGGTTTTTCAGATCGACGATGTTTCTCACTGCCACCGAAGTTCCGAAGAGTGTCGGCCGCTCCTCGATGTATAAGACCGTGTTTAGAAGATTTATACCCGTAAATTTCTCCGTAACTCTCACCTATGCAAGAATATAGTCATAAGAATCAACACACCTTTTCGCTGAAGTAAAATCCTAAGTAAAGGCTTTGAAGAATTTACAGCTAATTCGAAATTCTTGTTATTACTTATCGGTAGTAAATCTGCGTTTTTCGGCTCGACATACTGAATAACAAAAGGGATGTTGAACAACATGTGAATACGTTCAAGTAGGGAATAGAAAGCGTTGTATTGTAGTGTATCCTCTGCCATGAAACTGAATCGCCGGAACTCGGCACCAAACTTTAATGAGAATTATTTTCGTGTTGTATAGAATTACCTTGCTTTTGACTTCTACGAGTCTACTTGGGTTCATTCTCTAACCAACCTCAAAGCTCGCTCCCAAAGCAATATTCAAAACTGCCCACAGGGTCAAACTTCAAACTTTGCTAAGTCAAATAGAAAAATCCTTACTTTTTGGGTCTTAGTGACAAAAGGGTGTATTTGTTTATGGAAAGATATAATCCCTATTTCACTTTTTCTTTAAAAGTGTGGCGTTTGTATGATTGTTCTATTACATGAATTCTGTCGTTTTTTGTTACAGATGAGTTAAATTCAACTTAAGAGCTAATTTAGAACGCTGTGTTCAGGAGGATATTACTTATCTTATCAAAGATGTAGAAACTGGGTTTTCTTTAAACAATAGACATTAAGCCATAAACATGAATTTCCAACACGTTTTTCTATGTGCGACTAGAACGATTACATCTACTTCCTATCCATCTTATTGTAAGATGAAGGGTGATCTCATGTTACAAACCCACATATAAAACAGTGGCTTTACTGCCAACATGTATTTTTTTGTTTTCTCCAAGAATAGCCATCTTTGAAGTCTTTACAAAGAGCTTCTAAAACGTTGATTAAAGAAACTCAGAGTAGTACACTTTTTTCTCATAGTGGTAAGCAACAAGAACACACTAACTGAGAAAGTGATTTTGACTCTGCTGATGAACCCTTTCAAGGCAAATTTAGTTATTAACTGGTGTACGTGCTGTAAATATTAATACAGACCAACCGTTATACTGCTCTTATGAATGAAGGCTGAGTACTAAGACGCAGAAATGTTCATAGATGACGGAATAAGTTATCTAAGAGAAACAAGGTGATGAGTGACCGCTGCTATCTACTGAACTCAAACAAGTATAGTCTTCTATTAAAAGACACAGAAGATAGTGCAATGACTGTCATTTTTCTTGGGCATTTGGTGTGGTTTGAAATAAACATAATTTGTAAACAAGTTCTGTCACCATTCGTAGTTTTACGTAGTTCCATGCAATGTATACAAATATTGTATTGACTGAAATACTTCTCTTTAAATTGACTTCTATTATTACTGTTCACTTTTCTCATGGTATGCTGATTGTGGTTCGTTAAATAAATGTGTTCGCAAATACACCAAATTCTGACTTTATTGGCTGCCGTTTTCTAACTGATTGCTAACAATCCTGTTGCACGTTTTGGCTCATTTTATACAACATAGTCCCTGGTATTTATGCGCGAATGCTTTGAATTTATATATGACAATCACAGGAACTATTTTTCCCACATTGTCATAATATTGGATACACATTCCTTTCTGCGGATACGCACACTTCTGACGATAACATGTATCTAGTGATGACACTGGTTCCTAGTCACACGATCTTTGGAGCTGAACACGTAATTCTCGAGATTTAAAGTCGACATAAAACACTTAGAGATCAAACTGGTGAACTCAGGGACACGAGTCGACAGAGACATTACTCAGCCATGCAGGCGTGCTCACGATAACACTACTTTCCGCACCAAATATGTGATCCTAAAACTCTACCTGTAAACCTTCTGAGCTTACTTTCAGTCCGGAAGCCGGGTAGTGCGGGGTCAGCGTCCTAATCCCATGGAAAACCACCTTGTTAAGAAACCCTAACCAGAATAAACAATTTGAATCACTTAAACTCTGATATCAGAAACGAAGGCTCTTTATTCAGAATAATTATGACACCTTATGGTAAAAACCGAGATTTTTCGGAAGTCACGGTGCCGGTACTCCGTCTAACAACCGGAGACCAGCAGGCCGGATTCAGCAAATACAGGACACATACTGCAGAGTTCATCAGTTTACATCACGAGACGAACCCCAACTTGGAATCTTGAAGGGAAAGGTGGAAGACCAAAGTAAGCATTAAGCATGGAATTGAATGCAGACATGAAAAGAATGAATAGAAAGTTGGAACAACTGGAATCAAAAGCCTAGGATAGAGTTGAAAGGAAAATTTCGGTCGACGATAAATGCTCTCACGAAGGGTAGCAGACTCAGGTAGGCGTATTTTAAATGGCTAAATATTAATTATGTGGGAGATAACTGCATACTTCGTTGCACCAATGACTGAACACTTATCTTCTACTACATTAGTTGAATGTCCTTTTAATTATTTCAGTTTCCACCCCTTAGAACATTTAGTTGGTTTTGCCTTCTAAAGTATATGCACTTGATATTAGAGGATGTGTCTTGTTCAATCAGTCAACATGATTGTTTCAGTAAATATACAGATGAAGTCGTCATACAATATCGTTACGTTAACGCTTGTTCATGAAGTTTAGACGCTACGTTTGTTTCGTATCAGAATTATTGTAGATACTTGGACTAAACGAAAATCTTACGTTGAGATATGAAGTAAAACTATATCTCTTACATTCCTACCAACTGTTGTCACAAATAATTAAAACAAAAAGTGCATTAGACTGATCAAAATGTGCTATTCTACTGCGTTTTAGATACTTATAGTGACACATAGATCAATTGCATATAGTATCATGTTCAAAAAATTATTAAACACCTTTGTTTCAATACATTTATGATTTATGTATTCCTGTTTGTTATTCATCATTCAATACCGAGATAGTGGACTATGAAAATCGCTTTAATGTTATTCAGCGAATTGAAATTCAGCAAACATCCACTCACGATAAACCAGTTTTACTTCTCTCAACCATAACAATAGTCAGTCCTTATCCGTAAAAACGCAAACTGAACCATGGATCATTGAGATTAATTTTAACGGAGGGGAACCAATTGATTGTCTAATCTATTCCGAATTCACATTAAAAGACCTAATGATTGGTCATTGACCTGAAACACATACTCCTGGGGATTATCTAGCACAACTAGTTCCCCTGCACGCTTATATAAGGAAAAACAAGGATCTCATTAAAATGTAGTTAATACATAGGGATGGGTAGATCTATCCTCATTGTTTGTCGCATCACAAAATACATATATTAGAGAGAGTACTGGATAAACATAAAAATAACTTAGGTAAACTAAAAACCAACATGAGGTATTGGTATATTTTTCCGACTTTTACATATTGCGGGACAGTCAAGTAACGAATTGCTTTATGAGTAATGCAGGTTAAGAAAGCCATACAGATGTCCAAAGCTGGACAAATACATATGATTCCAAGACTGCCTTTTCAGAATGACTCACTTTTTAAGTAATCAAAAAGTTACCGGAACCTGCTTCGTTGCCTACAAAATCACTTTCCTGTTCACTTAGAAAGTTTGTGTGAATTGGTCCAATGTCATGATCATCACTGTTAACGAATTGATGTTCACTGGACAAATATTCAATAGCTTTGGAACACAAAATACGTTTGCGAATCTACACAGAGTATGGACGACCGGTGGTCTCCCCATTATACTACGAACCGACTGATATCAGAAATGCAGATTCTCGAGTCCGAGTGATGATTTAAATGTATTTGTTGGAATATTCAGAAAAATATCCCAAAAACCATCCTGTTAAGTCTAATGCTATCCTTAGACTTGAAATGGTATCATTTTCCTATTGGTCAATATTTACTTCACGTGTCGTTCTCCTGTTGGCCAAATATTGTACGAATGTTATTTTCTATTTTATAGTACGATGTGGTCTTGAAGAGGCTACAGGTATTCAGAGTTTGACAACGCTTAAACCAGTAACACCTTCTAATACGAAGTGTACCCACCAAATGAAATCAAAAGACAGAAGCAAGGAAGCTTGGAGATATATTTGATATGCTATCAATATATCGAGAATCATCTGATCTAATCTGACTAGCGATTGTATGGGTTGTTGAGCACGGCGTTCCTATTCGTGATCTAGTGCGGATGCATGACCGAGCGCTTTCAGCTAGGTGAGTCCATTAAAACTAATGTGGTCAGCATCCAATGTCGAAAACTTACAGAGCTATTTATTTTGGGCATTTATTTACCGCTACAGTCTGTTTGATTGGTACATAAACTCAATATGCTTGAAATATAATGATTCATATCGCAGAGGCTGAGACTTGTGTTCTGGACTTAACTGGAAGTAGGGCCAATCAGGACTCTAGACTGTTTATATGGTTTTACACATCATTGATCCGATCGTCAAGTCACTACGGTCACAAGTTATAACAGTATTTTACTTGATCCCTTAAATAAAAACGATATCCTTGATGGGACTATTAGATAATCACTTATAAAATTGACTCTTTCAGTAGATATTCTGCAACGAATAGTGCTTTCATATCAACTCTATTTTCTTATAAATAATAAGAATAGTTAATAATATTATGTAATTGATGATTATCTTTTGTTAATATTTTATTCCTGTAAACATAAATGAACAAATGATAGACTTTATTATTAGTAAATAAAACATTCATTTATTATGTACATAAAGATACATGAAATAAGGGTAGAAAATAAACAAATCTAAATAAGTACATAAAATGTATCATTAAACTGGTATTATGATTATAAACTATGAAAAATAAGCATAACAACTAATGGTATAACTAAATTATCAATTTGATCAATATATGCTTCAATAAGTACACCGATGAATAAAGGAATAATACCGGTTAACCAATACCATGAATAATAATATGATATTATTGTCCATGCAATAATCTAAATGATGTAACAATATAATTAAAAAAAGGATGATGTATTCAAGAAATGAGTCATTTGAACAATCGGATTATATAATTCACTTGTTAACATGTACTTGATATAAAGACTAGAAAGAGTTGTTAAGAAGGTTTTGTACTTCATTGTTAATATCATCAATTCCAATGCCCCCAAATATCCTGGTATGGCCGAGAGTGGGGTGGGCACGCCTTCCCTCTTGAAATGCTGTCACATGGGTACGCGTATATAGCCTTTGACAGGGAAGTTCTACTAACTACCTTGTCGTGGTGGGGGTGTTGTTTACGAAAATGAGAGGACGAAAAGAGAATGTCTGGCGCTTTAACCGGATTCGAAACCAATGGTGCACATGGGCTCCAGGGTCCTGAGGGAACAAATGGCGTATAAACCAATCGTTGGTCACCGGCTACCATGGGAATGCATCTCCTTACGATGCTCCACTGCCTTATGGGTCAGACTTTTAGGTCAAAGGCTTGGGGTGTGGTCCCCTAAGATAACCACCTGCTTCGATTTGGGCACCCGGGCAGTATCACAGCCCACACACAAATATGATGAAATTTGTGTGGCGCATATATATTTGGTATCCTCTTGTACCAATATTTATGTGTTCAAATAAAAAGTTTAAAAAATATCCTATAACAACACATTGACACAACTCATTGGATTAACTCTAAAACAGCTTACAGTATATATAACTGGGAAGATTTGAATTATGGATTTCGTAACAGTAAAATCATTTGATGAGACGAATGAAACTGTCTATTACCTGATGTCTATTGTAAAAGATTGTTGTTGTGGAATGAAATTTTTTTTATTTTACCTAACTTTATACATTAAGTTAGAAAAAGATCACTTTTTTCCGCATAATTGGTTACAAGCGAGAAGAGAGTCAAGCACAAATTTCCTAATCTTATCCATTACTCAGTAAGTTAAACGCAACACAGAACACAGAACATATGTACATTGGTTCAAGTTACCATAAGCCAATTTAGCACAGTGAGATGATATTGTCAAGACAAATCTCATCTGTTCATCATCAAATGGCGGATATTTAGAAATTTAGTCTCATCAAGGCAACAAACTGATAGCAGGAAACAATGATTTAACATTTCAAACTAAATTATTACAAATAATTAGATAAGTTTCTAGTGCGTTAGAAATATTTGTGAACAATCTGATGACATTATTTTCATGACAGAAAAATGCAAATACGAATGCAATATTATTTTATGAACTGAATCAGTTGAACTCATTTGTATTGGTTATTTGGATCTTCTCATTGATGTTTAGGACTGAAATTAATCAGTCTCTTATTGGCAAATGTACATCGTGCACGCATTACCTCGATATTGCCATTAAGTCATAAGCACCACTCTCCCCATTCTTGTTCAACTTTGTGATCGACGTACTTTTAGAGATAACACTCTCCTCATCTAAATTTCCAGGGGTTGAACTTCTACCGGGAGGTTCACTTGGTGACTTAGGATATGCAGATGACATAGTTCTATTTGGTGAAGACGCTGTCTTATGACCACTCTAAGCAACAATGCAAGCATGTTCGGGATAGGATTCTCCCCCTCGAAATGTAAAATGTTGCTTCAGGATTGGGTTACATCGACACTCGAACTAGTGATAGGGAGTGAAGTAGTTGAGTGTGTCGACCGCTTCACTTATCTTGGAAGTCTCATCAGTCCTTGTGGTCTGGTGTGTGACGAAATCTCAGCACGGATACAGAAGGCTCGACTAGCTCTTGCCAACTTGCGTCATTTATGGAGTAGGCGAGATATCCGTCTATCAACCAAAGGACGGGTTCACTGCGCAGCAGTTCGTTCCGTCCCACTTTATGGCAGTGAAACATGGCCGGTAAGAGTAGAGGATATTCGTAGGCTACTAGTATTTGATCATAGATGTCTTCGAAACATTGCTCGTATATCATGGGACCATCGAGTAAGTAACACAGTTGTTAGGAAACGGGCACTAGGTAAGGATGGCAAATCGATTGATGAAGTAGTGAAACTTCATCAGCTGAGATGGCTGGAACACGTGTTACGTATGCCCGACCACCGACTGCCTCGACGAGCAATGTTCAATGGTATAGGAGTAGGTTGGAAGAAAGCTAGGGGCGGCCAGACCAAAACATGGCACAAGTCCATGAAGTCACTGACAAGTGGACTGAGTCATGTTGGTAGGTGTAGACTACCTGGTTGGGGACTGCGAGATGATAGCAACCGATGGTTAGAGACCCTGAATGACATGGCTCAAAATCGTTTGCAATGACACAGGTTCATCCACTCTTTGTGTTCTCCCAAATTCTAATCTTCTGAATTCTTCATGTCCCTTTCTTTTTTCTCTTTCCAAATTTATTTCACTGGATTATACTCTTTGAATGACATCTCCAAACCCTAATCTTCCCGACTACTGCTTATACTCTTATTACCTCTACCACTATGGGATTTGAATCGACAACTGCATCTCTGTGCTAATGTGGTGTGGCAACTCGAACTGATGTACGTACGTACGAAGTTCTACGTTGTTACTGACTGACTGATAATTAGCAGTGATATTCAGGACGCCCATTTGCCTTATTTGGGACTCGTCAACTGGATGTACCTGCGCTCAAGAGTTGAACAGTTGCATTCCTGAACATCAATGGGAAAATTCAAACAACCAATAGAAATGAATTGAACTTCACCTTATTGCACAACCTAACCCCAGTGCCTACCTGGATTTAGTAGCTAAGTAGAAAACTCAATGGCGTTTGATGTGAACAGTGCTGAGCTTGAGTCCCGGAATGAAAATCAACTACAGAATGCAGATCTACCTAGCTAACGATTGCCAAATGGGACGAAACTCGTGTTGCAAATTTGACTGCTAGCCACTTTCCATCTCCGCTGATAATTATCGATTACTTATTACACGGAGAGCTGGGATAGATTAGTGGGAAGTACTAATTCTAAATGACACTATCATAGTTTTGATTACAAGAAATATTAAATCTATTTTCTACGACTGAAAGTTATGAAGTTTCTAGACATTCAGCAAGTCCGTTGATCTTGACGACTTCGATTAAACGCAGATTTCTTGCACAGAGAAAGTAAAATCAAAATTCCGACTTCGGTTAATATAGTAATTTACTAGTAATGCAAACAATACTTGTATCACGTATACATTCAAAAAGAGAAACCAGAATATTTCGATGGCGTTGTGAATTCTTGAGAATTTAATTAAATCATTCGACAAATGATTTAATTTGTTTAATCTGGTTAGTGTTTTTACTATGGGATGGGGTTACCGACCCCGTGACCAACTCTCTTTCTTTACCCGGGCTTGAGAACGGTAGTAACTCTAGAAGAGCTACAGGCGGATATAAGTCATATCCTAAGAATGACGGGTTATGATAATACAACCTGGTCGCCTAAACCAAAGTAAGTCGAGTGGGGTTTGAACCGAGGAGTTAGTGGCTGAACGTTGAGCGCACCATAACCAATAAGCTCCAGGTCCGCTGAATTGGGGCTATCCAGCCACTTTAAGAGAATTGGGTTTCAAGAGCTTTACTGTAGGAAATACCCTCGGTGTGAGAAATAGGCGGACAAAACTTTTCAGGCAAAGGCTAAATTCATTAAGCCACGACTCGAGCGCAACGCACTACAGCATGCCGATCAAGTCATCTAGACCGGACTAGGCTGTGGTCGGATTATTAGGACGGAGCCTTTAACCAGCAACCCACGTTAATATACGGGTATACACGCCAGCAGGCACTCGCCCAATCCATGACTTAATGTGCTACTATACTAAAGGGTCCGAACACTGAAAGCCTCGAAATGTAGTTTGGGGCCCGGTTTCAGGAGACTTAAAATGACAAATCTACATTGAAACATTTTTATAGGAAGCATTAGCTCTCACCTTTTTCCAGTCGTGCCAATGGCACATGGAAGGACTTCTTGACAAATCACAGTAGCGAAATCCTTAAATTATTACGAAAATAATTCAGTGGCAATAATGAATTAGTGATTAAACTTCTTAGTGAGGAGATAAGAAAAACGACAATCCAGTGGATCATTCAACAAAATTTTCTTAACATTAAATCAATGCATGCCTATATTACTACTATATACACAAACATACATACATACTTGAGAAAAGAATGAAGCAAAAGATCCTAGATATGTTCGATGTGATCCAGGCCAACGACGCTTTCCATAAGCTCGTCCAATTAATGCAGCAAAACTATCGCCTATAGCTATTGATAGAACTCCTGACCATGATGACGGCTTCACATCCAATTCGTAACATAAGTTGCCTGGTTATAAATTTTAAAAAGCTTATTTACGAAATCTATGTATTGACTTAAGCTTATGCGTATAATAATAGATATTCGAATATTAATAACACTTAATTTTAAAAAAACACACAGAATTGATCAAACTATTTAACTGAATGGTTTCATAAACACAGTTACTAAGCTCTAAGTCAGGTTGCCAAAAAAATTTTTTTAACTACACACTAACAACTAAAGAAACGCATACATAGTTGCTCAGTCATCAGTGTTAATGTCATTTGATCAATAGTACGAGTGCCAATGTGCACAGTTTTTCACTGAAACTTGATAGTTGAAAGTCATTTCGCTTGTCTTAATTCATGCTATAAAGTTCAAACATTAAAATATTTCACTGGTTGAAATCATGAGTCAATCGAAGCTAGACCACCATGGAAAACCTGGAAGTACTGGACGGCTGTTTTGTCTTAGTATTGGACTCCTAAGCAGTGGGCATCCACGATCCCACACCCCGCGAGATTCGAACCTAGGACTTATCAGTCTCGCCCCAGGCGCTTAACCAACTAGACCACTGAGCCAGCATCAAATGATGTTATTGTCTAACTTCAACCAATCTACGAAGTTGCGCCATCGTACACCATTGTCTTCAGTGAGTTACTATCTCACAACAGATACGGTTGAACTCCACTAGCCACGGCTTCTCACCAGAACTCTAGGAAATAACTCTTAGAGACAGTCACTAGTGAGCATATGATGATTATAATCGGACAGGGGTTTTGAAATCCATATGGAGTTAGTCACTGATGAACATACTAATATATAATCTTCACAATTTAACTGTATATTTACTAGTAATTAGCACAGCAACTGAAAAAGTGGTCATCGTGTATAGATCTTGTCAAATTATTGCTTTACTAATTGTATATATATTAACTAGTTTGGACGAAGTAGAGCATTAATTATGACCACCGGACACGAAATTGTGCTCAGGACTGCTAGTTTTCTTTCTGTACGAATATGATAACTTTCGAAACCATTAGTTTAGAATTCGATAATTTACACCCATGAATTCAGTCAATTCGCATTATATAGCGACGTAACGATCATTCAATTCTCCTGAACTTATTCTCCAATGAAACCCAAACCAAAATGCCGGATAAAAAATATGCTTCGAAATTCAGAACTTACTCATTAAAGGAAAGGAGAGACGACTGAGTGTTAGATACGATACACTTCGGGTACATGGAAAACTATGGGTAACATCAGCCTCTAATCGTATTAGTGACATGGTTCAACTCCAACAGGAGTCACTTTTCAGTAGAAATTTTGGAATCCATATGGAGCTAGTCACTGATGAACAGATTATCTCTCTGTCATAAGAAAATCTATAAAATTTGCAAACTAAATCGACACTTCACAATTAGGATAGTTTTTTTAACCACAAGCCCATGAATGTTAATGAATTGTGATCTAAAAAACAAAAGAATCAGTAACCACTGAACTACTTCACTAACCTGTAAAAATACTTGCTAAATACTACTTTCGTCTATCAGTAGACTTAATGTTTGATATTTGGTGGGTCAATGTTTGAATTTACACAACAAGGATTGAACTTAGTGTTAGTAGTTATGATCTTGTATAATGTTAAAAATAGGAGTTCTAATGTGATTTACAGAGTTGAATGTGCTCTATATTTTATTGTTGTACTTTTGTAGATAGTCGTTAGTTTTTGTTCTTAAAGTCTCAAATGCCCTGTTACGGCCGAGGTTGAAGAGAGTCCGCTCTTCCTTTCGAAATACTCTCACATGGCCACGTGCATACAACCACTGCCAGGGAAGTCCTACTCACTGCCTTCTCGTGGCATCACTGTTGCTTACGAAATTGCGAGGAAGAAAAGCGAATAGCCAGTGCTTTAACCGGGTTGGTGGACACAGAGGATCCATCTAGGGGAGTTGGGAAGCCCTGATTCCAAACCAATGATGCACATGGGCTCTAGGATTCTGAGGGAATAAATGGCGTGTGAAACTACTATTGGTCACCGACTACTATGGGACTGCGTCTCCTAACGTTGATCCATTGCCTTGTAGATTAGACCTTTAGGTCAAAACCTCCAGGTCTGACCCTCTAAGAAAACTACATGCTTCGGTCTGGGCACCCAGGCAGTATCACAGCTCTCACACAAATCAATGATAACTACTACTGGCCTCATTTTTATTACGTGGACCTTATGTATTCGGTGCTCCCATGTACCAATGTTTGTGTTCAGTTCAAATAAATAATTCTCTTAAGCAAAATGTTCTATAAAACCAATAAACTTTAATTTACTTACCAATACTAATTATACTCCCATTAGTATTTCTATTTTGTGGCCACCAAACAGGAATACTTAAACCGAGTAAAAGAGCAATAGGTGTGAATAGAATGTCACCAGAATCTCGTTTATCACGAAATGGATTAACCAAAGTACTAAGGTAGGAGGAAAGAGTAGATGGCTACAATTTAGAAATGAAAATTTAAAAACAATTTCTAGTTTAAGTATTACATTGAAAACTTGTTTGAAATTATGTACAATTACGTCAGTTTGTTGCCCAGAGTAACTTATTATGTATCAGTCAGTCAGCTACAACGTAGGACCAGGCACATATGTGCATCGGTCCAGGTTGCCATACCGCATCAGCACAACAAGATGAACACCGGATTCACAGCAGTGGTTAGGTCAAAGGTGGTAATATATAAGAGAAAGATTGCATATAGAGATATAGTACAAGAAGAAAGAATTGGTTCGTAGAAAGAAAAATATGAAGTGATATTAATCTCTTAGTTTAAGGTACGGCAGAGAGTGTATACACCGACGCCATTGTGATCGATTCTGATCCATGTCACCTACAATCTTCAACCATTGGTTACGAAAGTCACGCGGACCCCAACCAAGTAGTCTGCATCTACCAACATGGCTCAGACTAGAAGTTAGTGTCTTCAAGCACTGATGCCACGTTTTGGTTTGTCCGACCCTACCTTTCTTCCAACCATCTCCAATACCGGATAGCATTGCACGTCGTGGTAGTCGGTGTTCAGGCATACGTAACACGTATCACATTTATTAAGTACAAGTTTATGCAATTGACCTCGATTCATATTGTTTTTCGTACGGTTAAATGATATTACTCAGTAGACTAAAATGAAGTAGATGTGATCGAGTTCGAATCGTTGACTTACTGACTGAAACCCGAGTACCTTAATATTTAGATGACAATGACATATTAGTAGACTAAGACTAAAATAAAAAGGAAATTTTACTGAAATGATAAAAATCAGATTGATGACTGGATAATTGAGTTAAGTTTAACAGTTAATTAGATGATTTTATTTTTAAATTATTTAGCACCCTTTATATTTAGACAAGAATAAAATGATCTAGATAGGAAACGAGTACAATGAAATGTAAATATATTTGTGACTATCACACAACAGCCGCCTACTTGAGATAAAATGAAACTGGAACAAGGTTAGTAGTCCGGTCTATTAAAACATCAATTTCATCACTAGATACCTTTTCTAATAACTGAATCATTTACGTTGTTTGAAACGTCAGATCGGGGGAATACGATCATATAAATTAATTAATATTTAGAAGAACTTCGCCTGGAGTCCCTCCGGGGGCTACTGCCGGTCCCAAGCCCGGATAAAGGAGGAGGGTTGGGCATGGGGTTGGCGTCCCCATCCCGTAGAAAACTAACTCGCTAAAAAAACGCTAAATATTTAGAAGAGAAATACTATTATTCTCACAACTGAACTGGGTGAAACACTTAACCGTACTCAACAAAAAGGCTGCTTGTAGTAGTTATGCTTTAAAACCATACAAATGATAAGCATTACAATCTGAGCAATAGAATTCTAAAAAACTGAAGATAGAACGAGACAGAAACAGCATTATATATCTCAATAAATACTAGGTGCGCGAAAAACTCAGATTTTTTTAATATTCACATGGAGAACCACAAGGAATGAGTTAATCCAAGATTTGATTCAGACAGACAACCGGGAAGTGATAACCGCCCTCATACCTCTAACAGCACTCAAGACCACTGACTGATTCAGACAGGTAATATAACCAAAGAATTGTTATTAAATGTTTTTTTTACACTAGACCGTGAACATATATTTACTCATTAGCTAAATCCTACCGCAATAATTTGATCTTCAACATGAGTATGCTTTAGTTTTCCCTATAATAGTATCTTAATGATCATAATACATAGATATGAACTGTAGTAACATCATACTTTATCATTAATTTAAGAAATTTTCATCGTGATTAAAAAACCCATGAACAACTAATTTTATCAAATGATCACTGACGTACATTTATTGTATTTACGGTTTACGAATAAGCTGAGTGACGGGAGATGTTTTTCTACCAACCAAAGGTCGAGCTTATTATCCAGCAGTGCTTTCTCTTTTAATTTATGGATACAAAATATGGTCATTAGGAATAGATGATATTCGTAAGCTACTAATATTCGGTCATAGGTGTCTTCAAAGCATAGTCTGTATATTTTAAGACTACTGAGTGAGTAATACTGAGGTTAGGCATAGGCTGCTAGGTAGAAATTGAAATTCGATTAACCAGGTAGTGAGTCTCGATCGACTGAGGTGGTTGGGACATGTACTATATATCTCCAACAACCGAATACCTCGAAGGGAGGTACTGTCTGGTGTAGGAGTAGGCTGGGAGAAAGTTAGGAGGGTTAAGTCAAAATGTAGCACCAGTTTGTGAGGTCAGTGACAGTTATACTGAATCATGCAGATGGATATAAACTATGTGGTCGGGATCCGCGTTTCAGCCATCACCAGTGGTTGGAGACTTTTGATGACGTGGTTTACAGTCGCTTGCAATGGCACAAGTGAATTCACTCCTTGTTTCCTCTTGGATCCTGAGTCCCAGAATCGTTTACTCTCCTCTATTACTATTACTAATACTGCTACTACTTTTACTACTCTGACACTTGCCTTGATAATCTTCTCTGGCCATGTTGATACGGTGTGACAACTAAAACCGATGTAGATATGTATCATGCCCTATGTTGTAGAGGGCTGGAGTACTATTCTATATAGTTCCACTTTATACTAATTTCGTATTTATAAGATAAAGATTTGTCGGTTACTAATACGTATCCTTAGTATATAATGTGTTAGTTGTTATAGAATTCAACTAGGTATAACACAAAAGGTCTGGCATAGATTTAAGAATAAAAGGATAGGTGATCAGTTCATAGCATTACACTAAATTTTGAGGGATAGCTCTGTAAGACTCACGTCTGTTGATTTGTCACGACTCTTTTGAAGAGATTCTAAAAATCACCCAACCTGATGGCCTAAGGATTAAAATAGAAGTCAATGATGACTCTAAGGTCGTTTTCAGCTACACTACCCCTGAAAGTAAAACGAAATCTCGTAAGTGAAAAATGCTTGTCTAAGCCGTCTTTAACTGTAGTGCCTTCCAAACAATATTGATTATATAATCTGGCATCACTTTATTACTTCAAAATATCATTCTAAATTGTGTAATACATCCTTTTAGCGGTGTTATATGAAATTTTCTGTGTTGTTATGCACAGTACAACAAATACGACCACACTAGGAATACCCTGACGGACAATCTTCCTTGGTTGAGTGAACGCCCTGTTTAAAGCCGTGATGGCTTTTGCACAGGTCTTTATCTGTTAGATATGACTACATCAGAGTAAATTCTACAACTATTCTCTACCGTTTAGCTTTGGTGCTAAATAGGTAGATAAGTAGGTAACAATCCAGTCTGACAAGACACTACAATGCACTTGACAAACAAGCCCCTGTGTGATTACATTGAGTATCGATCTCAAAACCTACTTGTATTTATAATCATAATCAACGTAGTCTAACTAAAAGTATCAACAAACTTACCCCTCGTCTTCGGATCCATTCAAAACACCAAAATACAATAAGTAATGCGACAGACATCAATGAAAGAAGATATGGTGAATAGAGCAAACCAGATGAATATACAATACCAGCAGCAAAATGAAATAGTTTACGAAGTTGAAATGTTTCTTCTTTGTCATCATATAATAAATCACACGTTGTACGACTATTTCTAATTAATTCATTTTCGCTAAATAATTCATAATATTCACTTTGGTCAGATAGGCTCAATTCATCGGATAATACAATTGAACTATCACAAAATTCTGGCTTAACTGTACTACTATTCATGATTCGATAAATGTTATGATCAGAACAACGATAAACAATAGTAATATAAACACATAGCATAAATAAGCATAGCCAAAATATCAATAAAATGAAATTAGTTGATACAATAAAGCATTCAATTTGATTGATAATGAAACTAGTAGCTATCTTTACACGACAAGCGTAAATCCAAAAGCATCCAGTCAAAATAGTAAGTGTTATTAACACAAAAAAAGCAATTTTCACTGAGAATCTAATAGAATATCGTTCAATTAGAAAGAGTATTAAAAATGGTACTACAAAATTACATTCAGTAAGAAGAAATATTGCAGAAAGTTGAGCAAGTAGTATAGTTTCACCAAACGTAAACGAAAAAGGGAATAGACTTAGTAATTTGTAAGAAAAAAATAAAACAAACATAACTGTAAACAAAGGGCGAATCACCGTACTAACATGGTGAAAATGTTGACAATTCAGCCATATACATATAGGAATGACAGCATGTTTAAAATGACTATTCTTCGTTAAGAAGAGTACAGTAATTAAAGATAGAAAAAATTCATAAGCGAGTGCTTTATTATCTGTTTTAAGTAATAAAGCAGGGACGATAAGTCCCAACCATAATCCGGAACTAGCATCTTTTCTTGAAGTTTTTAACAGACGATGATAAGTCAACATGGTAAATAAACGTTGTACGTATCTAGAGGTGTAAATTATTGTATTTTGGAGCCAGATTTCATTTCTGCGGTGAAGAACACGATAAAATACTTTATCTTAGAGGTTTCAACAAATACATCAACCAGTTAATTTCATTGATAATTTTAATAACAGCTCTAAAAGGTTACACTTTGTGCATGGTTTGTTTAATCAAAAACCTATTCAATTTACAAGACACTCCGTAAAATACAAAGTGTGATAAAGCGACATACTTTTTCGAATCCATGTGTAATAATTTGGCACACTGGTTTTCAAATTTACTAGACCCGGGTGGATTGATGAAAGATTAAATCCAAGCTCCAGTATGAGTAATTTGAGATGGGTAACTGATTGTAAGACCTAGCATAAACCCATATTCCTACTATCTACAAACTCCTATAAAAGCGGAAAGTGAAACCACTTATGAGATACCGAAAACATATTGTTTATAAACACTGTATTTTGTGAATTAGCCGTAGTCTCTGGATGCAAAATTATCTAAAAGCTTGAGTTTACTGATAACATCCCAATGCTAAACCTCATACAAGTAGTACTAAGATGTTAAATGTGCAACAGTGGCCTGCTGATTAAAACCACTGTCTTAGAAACCACTAGATTACAGATTTGAACCGTGGTCCGTCTTTGTTTGGGTAGTGGGGCGTCATCCCTAGGCTCACATAATATGCCTCAAAGCCGAGTACACAAAATATGTACCAGACTTGTTACACTGAATCCTCCCGACGTACTCATACATGGTTAGCACGACGAGATAAAAAGACAGAAGTAATGTAGAAGTGACAAACCAGAAGATTAAGCATTGAGAATATTGTTTGACAAGACAGGAAAGTTATGGATGAAGGGATACTGAAGTCTGAAACCAAGAGGTAGCTAGGGACTAAATGCATTCTATCCATTTATTTAAACACATATTGGCACAAGGAGGCACCAAATATATGCGCCACAAAAATAATCTGATTTATATGAGGGCTGGGATAAAACCCAGGCGCCCAAACACAAGCAGGTGGTTTTCTTAGGGAGATATTTTGCCTCGTTGTTGTGAATTATTCTGAGCTGTCATTTAAAGTCTCCGATCGTTGGTGGCGGTTATCATGTGGACTCAAACAAGGAGTTTGCATCTGCCTACATAGTCCAGACAACAGTCTGTGACTTCATAGGCTGATACCACGTCCTTGTTTGGTCACCCCTATCTTTCTTCCAACCTAATACTGTACCAGCAAGCATTACTCTTTGAGACAGGCAGTGGTTGGGCCTACGTAACATACGTCCCAACTACCTTAGTCAGTGAAGATTTATAGACTCACCGACCAATTTGACACATTTGTCAAACATCAACATTGCTAACTCGGTCGTTCGGAGAAACGCAAGCAATGCTTCAAAGCTCCCATGATCAAAAACCATTCGGCTTATTCATATCAACTTTCATAGACTGTCCTTCACAACAATAAAGTAGGATAGGACGAGTTACTGTCCACTATACTTGTCCTTTAGTCGGTAGATGGACACTCTACATACACCACAAGTGACACAATTGACCAAAAGTCAACCGAACTTTCCGGATTCGTAACGCCACATCACCAGACAAACACATCACAGCTGACTAGACCTCTAAGATAAATGAAGTGGTCAATGGACTAAACTACTTCACAACCTATCATTAGTTTAGGTGTTGGTTTAGACCAGTCCTAAAGCAACATTTTGTATTTAAGAGACAAAACACATTTTAAATGATCTTGCGTTATTGCTCAGAGTGATTAGAAGACCTTGCACTTTGTCAGTGTCTTCACCAAGCAGAACTATGTGATGCTTGTGTTCTAAGTCAAGTGAATCATATGGTAGGATATTGAACTTCTGAAAAGGTGGTTGGAAATGTTATTACAACAGAGTTCGCATTAATGGCTAAAGTAGGTGGGAATGGGAATAGTGGGTAGCCCTGGCGAACACCAGTTAGGTGTCGGGCTTCGAGTTTATAGGTACATCTAAAAGTTATTACACAGGGAAACTTAAATGATTTGAAGTTTGATAATACCACCTCGCATCACTACCGTTCAACAACCTGACTAACATACAACCTGAGTAACGCTTATAACCCAAATCAGCGCTCTTCAAATGCGAAGGCGCTCTCATGAGTCCAGCAAGTTTGCATGAGCAGACTTCGCTGAACAGAACTAACGACTGAGAATAAACTCCACTCTCATTCGTAATTTTGACGTCGCACCTGACAATCAATCAAAATGGTGTGGATGTCATATTTGATTCTATAATGAACCATGAAGACGGGTGTGTTTTGTTCTGTTGTTTTTGCTGGCTTATCAATGTAACAGCAATGTTTGGTGTTTCGGCATCTCGGTACATTGTAATTTATGTGACGACTAAAATTATAGCCGCCAATTTAGGTGTTTTGTCAGGCTAAGATATACTTCGTAACTCCGCCTGTAGCTCTTATAAGGTTACTGCCGGTCCCAAGCCCGGGTAAAGGAGGAGGGTTGGGCATGGGGTTAGCGTCCCCATCCCGTAGAAAACTAACTCGCTAAAACAAAACGCTTACCAGAAAAAATAATCCAAACCATTTTAACTCTGCCCTGGGAGTTAGAAGGTCTTCAAATGGTTCAAATGGTTCAAATGGTTGTGGACGGAATAGAAGAAGCTTTCGCTTAACGGGCTTCCGTGTCTAGTAGCAGGGGATCACCAAATCCTCCAGGCAGGAACCTAGGTATGTTAACAATAAAAGAGGAAAAGAAATTGGTAAATCATAGTGTGATGCTGTCCTTGGTCCTTAAGAATAGGTCAAGTTGCCTCTTGAAGGACTCCTGAGAAGTCGCTTGGACTAGCTCGGCCGGCAGCGAGTTCCAGCTTTTGACAACTCTTAAGGAGTAGAAGTTGTGTCTACATTCCGTCTTGCTATGTTGTGTTTCCAGTTTCTGGGTGTTACCCCTTAGGTTATTATTCGAACTAAGCTTAAGTAGGTGTTTAAGAGAATGTCCAGAAGTGTTAAGAATACTATAAGCCATTAATAAATCACCTCTAAGACGCCTATATTCTAGTGGGTAAAGGTCTAGTGAACGGAGGCGTTCTTCGTAAGGCTTAGATTTGAGTCCTCGAACTGATTTCGTGGATCGCCGTTGGATACGCTCCAAAGTGACCTTGTCCTTTTGGAGTGAGGGGGGGAGTACTATGTTTCCGTACTCTAAATGGGGACGGATGAAACTATTGAAGATTGTGTGGAAAGTTCTTCCGTCAAACTGGCCAAAAATGCGCCTCAACGTTACCAGTGCAAGGTTTGCTCGGAAGGCATTTTTGTCACAGTTAGCGTAAGACTTTAAGTCATGGGGCACCAGGACTCCTAAATCTTTTTCGACTTGGGATACTACTAGAGAGGAGTTTCCTAAGTTGTAACTGTAGTTTGCGACATGTCGCAGATGGACTACTTTACACTTTGAAGTGTTAAAGATAAGTCCGTTATCGTCTGCCCAACTTTGAAGTCGAGTCAGATCCTCTTGAAGTGCCTGTATATCGTCTTGGTTGCGTATCTCTCTCCAAAGTTTCACGTCGTCTGCAAAAAGTAGTAAGTCTGACGTTACTTGTTGAGGAAGGTCATTTATGTAGATCAAGAAGAGAAGAGGCCCTAGTACCCTAACCTTAAAGTGTCGATTTTTTAGGTATGAAGTAAGCCAGTCGATTAGAGGTGGTTTGATACCTAGTCGTTTGAGCTTGTTGATAAGACACAAGTGGTTAACCTTATCAAAAGCTTTTGAGAAATCAAGGTAAATGACATCAACCTTTCCCTTGCGATCGAGGATGCTTGTCCATCTGTCCACCGCAGTCAGCAGGTTGGTTATACAAGAGTAACCCTTCCTGAAACCATGCTGTTGGGGTGAGAAGAAATTTAAGGACAGTAGATAGTCATTTAAACCGTCGCATATCAGGGACTCCATGAGTTTTGAAGGTAACGACAGAAGAGCTACCGGCCGATAACTTGAAGGTTCATTGCGTCGACCACCTTTGAAAATTGGTGTGATGTGAGCCAACTTCCAGTTTTCCGGTAATTTGCCTCGGCTAAGCGAGTGTGAAAACATCACGCTAAGCGGCGTTGCCAGGATTGAGGCTGCCTCCCCTAGTATGGCAGGATGAACCATATCCGGGCCAGGAGAAGTGTCAAGTCTTAAGTGCTGCAGTTTCCGGAACACCAAGTCAGCGCTTAGGTCCACTTCAGAAAGTCCTGTGGAATTGCAGATGAAGCTGTCGTCAATAAAGTTGATGTCAGCCGGTTGAAATGTTTGAGAGTAATGGGCCGCCAGAAGGTTAGCGGCGTCGCCATCGTTGTTGGTCGGGCCGTTAAGACCTAGCAGTTGAGAAACTCCTGTTTTGGCTTGACGAAGAGAGGCTGCATAACGGAATAGGCTTCTAGGGTTAGAGGCGAATTATACGAATTATACAAGAATTATGACTCTTCATGGCGAAAGCCGAGTTCCTTCGGAAGCCACGAGGCCGATGCCCCTTCTAACAACCAGAGCAAAAATTTTTACAGGTACATGGAACGTTCGAACAATGTGGGAAACCGGGAAGACCAGTCAAATAGCAATGGAAATGAGGAGATACAACTTAGCAGTACTGGGAATCAGCGAAACCCACTGGACCCAAGCTGGACAGAAAAGGCTAGCTACGGGAGAGATGCTGCTATACTCCGGTTACGAAGAGGACAATGCTCCACACACTCAGGGAGTCGCTCTTATGCTGTCCAAAGTAGCACAAAATGCACTTGTAGGATGGGAATCTCACGGATCCAGAATCATCAAAGCATCATTCAAAACAAAGAAGGAGGGGATCACAATGAATATTATCCAATGTTATGCACCCACCAATGATAACAACGACGACATTAAAGATCAATTCTACGAGCGGCTGCAGTCAATCATAGAGAAATGTCCAAGAAAGGACCTCACCATTCTGATGGGAGATCTAAATGCCAAATTCGGAATAGACAACACTGGATGTGAAGATATTATGGGATGAAATGGACTGGGAGAGAGGAACGAAAATGGGGAAAGATTTGCAAATCTATGTGCTTTCAACAAATTGGTCATAGGGGGCACAATATTTCCACACAGGCGTATACACAGGGCTACATGGATCTCACCGGACCACACTACAGAGAACCAGATAGACCATATTTGCATCAACGAAAAATTCCGAAGGACAATGGAAGATGTGAGAACCAGAAGAGATGCTGACATAGCTTCATATCACCACCTGGTTATGGCCAATTCGAAACTAAAGCTAAAGAAAAACTGGAAAAGTGGACAAACAGCACTACATAGGTTCAATACAGCCTTCCTTCGAGATACTGACAAACTCAATGAATTCAAGATAACTCTCAACAATAAGTTCCAAGCCTTACAAGATCTACTGAAAGAAGAAGAAACTACCATGGAGGACAACTGGAAAGGCATCAAAGAAGCATTAACTTCAACGTGTCAAGAGGTTCTGGGTCTAAAGAAATACCATCATAAGGAATGGATCTCTACAGAAACACTGGACAAGATCAAAGAAAGGAAGAACAAGAAGGCAGCAATAAACAGCAGCCGAACACGAGCAGAGAAAGTCCAAGCGCAAGCTGAATACATAGAAGCAAACAAACAAGTGAAGAGGAGCATTAGAGCCGACAAGAAGAAATACGTGGAAGAACTAGCAACGACGGTAGAAAAAGCTGCTAGAGAAGGAAATATGAAACAGCTTCACGATAAAACGAAGTAACTAGCAGGGAAATACAGTAAACCAGAGAGGCCGGTCAAAGACAAGGAAGGCAAGCCAATCACCGAAATTCAACAACAGCGTAACAAATGGGTAGAATACTTCGAGGAACTCCTGAATAGGCCGGCTCCAATGAATCCACCGGACATCGAAGCAGCACACATAGATCTTCCTATAGATGTCAACCCACCAACGACGGAAGAAATTAGAATGGTCGTCAGACAAATCAAGAACGGGAAAGCAGCAGGACCCGACAACATACCAGCTGAAGCACTGAAATCAGACATCGAAGCAACCACAAGCATGCTTTATCTTCTATTCGAAAAGATTTGGGAGGAGGAACAAGTGCCGATGGACTGGAAAGAAGGACACCTCGTCAAGATTCCAGAGAAAGGAGATCTGAGCAAATGTGAAAACTACAGAGGCATAACACTACTGTCAATACCAGGGAAAGTCTTCAACAGATTGTTGCTGAACCGGATGAAAGATGCAGTAGACGCCCAACTTCGAGATCAACAAGCTGGATTCCGTAAGGATCGGTCGTGCACAGACCAAATTGCAACACTACGGATCATCGTCGAACAATCAATTGAGTGGAACTCATCACTATACATCAACTTCATTGATTATGAAAAGGCATTCGACAGTGTACATAGGAGGACATTATGGAAACTTCTTCGACACTACGGAGTTCCTGAGAAGATTGTCATTATTATCCGGAACTCATACGACTGACTACAGTGCGAAGTAGTGCATGGAGGACAGCTGACAGATGCATTCCAAGTAAGGACCGGAGTCAGACAAGGCTGTTTACTCTCTCCCTTCCTCTTTTTTCTGGTGGTCGACTGGATTATGAAGACCTCAACATCTGAAGGAAAACACGGAATACAATGGACAGCTCAGAATCAATTAGACGATTTGGATTTCGCAGATGACCTAGCCCTTCTATCACGTACACGCGAACAGATGCAGATGAAGACAGCCAGTGTAGCAGCAGTCTCTGCATCAGTAGGCCTCAGTATACACAAAGGGAAAACCAAGGTCCTCAAATTCAAAGCGAAAAACAGCAATCCAATCACTCTTGATGGCGAAACTCTAGAAGATGTAGAGTCCTTCACATACCTACGAAGCATCATCGATGAACAAGGAGGTTCAGATGCAGACGTAAAGGCGAGGATTGGGAAAGGAAGGGTCGCATTCCTACAATTGAAGAACATACATGTGGAACTAAAAACAACTGTCCACCAATATCGAAGTCACAATCTTCAATACGAACGTCAAGGCAGTTCTACTATATGAAGCTGAAACTTGGAGAACTATAACAACCACAATCAAGAAAGTACAAGTATTTATAAATAGCTGTCTACGCAAG